ATGAGTCCCCACAGCCCAGATTGATAGTAGACCCAGCTGTCCTTTATAATTACATTTTAATGACTTAGGATGGTTGTTTGCATTTTGGCAACCTGTTTAATAGTGATGACATTTAAATTGTCACAACTAGGCTTCAAAGTTATCAATTTATTAGATGATCAGGAAACTTCACACCTATGGTGGTGTGGTTTTTTTGGCTGCAAACTCAGTAATCCATCAGCACACTGATTTATATAATGAAGGTTATTTCATAGGGATATGCTTTAGTTAATTCATCCCTGAAAGGGATTAATTTGCACAAATCAAAAAGGTTCTGTTTACTTATTTATTATTACTTTAGATTGACAGATGCTCTAAAAACACACATATTGTGTTTTGTTTTCTGTTGCTTTCTTCATTTCAGTATATTGACTTTTTTGTGCACACATCCATTTATTTCTTCTCCTTCTGCAAATGAACCTGGGATTTGCAGAATCACATATGATCCCTTCAGAGAAACACTTCTCTGATACACCAACAGAAGTACTCAAATACTGCATAGATTATATACTTGGTAGATTTTTTTGCCAAGTATTTCAACATCACTCCCCCAACGGTCCACCAAAAGAGGTGTTCAACTTCTTATATAAATGTAGAAGTCTTGAATATAGAAAAAAATAATTAACCCTGATTGATTGTTCTGAATATCAGGTTCAATCATAATACCGTCAGCTCCCTGGCTTGCTCCCTACACACTGCTTGTTCACCCCTCTCCCTCCCTGCTTCCCATTTCCAACCCAATGGTTTCTAGTCTCTCCAAAGTCTCCTACGCACCTCTGTTTGACCTGTTGTCTGAAAAAGAACCACCACATGGTACAGGCAGGTCAAGCTGTGTGAACTTACGCACAAATCCACCCAGGCACAACCCCCACAGCTGCTGAGAGGGCATAGCTAAAAATGGTCAGTGCTAGACAGGCCTGTTCAACAAACTTGGTATCTTTTGCCATGTCTCCAGTATCTGAGCTCAGGTCTGGGATTTGCACACACAGCCCTGGCCATTCCCATCACATGGCACAAAGCAGCTCCCCTTGCCAAAGAGACTGATCATGAGTGGCAGCTGTCAGAGGCAATGCAGCTGCAGCCCATGAGCATCCCACACTTCTGGCACATGAGACTGGAACCGGTCAATTGGTTTAGAAGTTGCTAGGGGAGGCCAGCATGCAGGTAAAATTGTCACACATTAGTTTTTCAGGAAATCAACTTACACATGCTCATATATGTGGTTGGTGATCAATATCAACATGGATATGCCAGTCATCACCGAGGAAAGCAGCTCTGGCAGGGGCAGGAGGGGGACTACTGCTCCCTGCAAGTCCTTGGTATCACAAATGCCACTGCTGAAAGGTGCCATGCAGATGCAAGCTAATATCTTGTGAGCTCCCACCAACCTCAGGGACTTGGCCCAGTACAGGGTCTGCCATATAATCTTTCCTTGGGGAGAACTGGCTTTAATACACAAACAGGAGAAAAAAGAAATCTAATGTATTGCTCTTTACATTTCTGACTTTTCCTCCTTATCAGTGGTGTTACCTTCAAGTAAGCAATCATTATGTAAACAGATCTCAAAGAAAAGTCATTTCAAGTACAGATTTCTTCCACTAAATTCCCTGGAGTGCCCACTCTGTAGCCCTTGGGCAAAATCCAGCACGAATTTATCTCAAGAATAGGCCAACGCTCATTAATCAAGCAAAGGCCTGGCTGAAATCTTCACAAGCGGCTGCGCAGAATACTGAGTCACCTTGCTGTAACTGATCTAGGTACTCTGCGATGCCAAAAGCCAAAAAGCTGCCAGAGACCATTATTTTATAGATGGAAAGCCAAGTAAAGAGAACAAGGAAAGTAATTTAAAAATGTATTTCTCAAGCTCATTGGACGCAGATCAAAATTAGAACACAGAATGAATAATTGAAATAAATGTGACAAGTAGCAGAAATACATATTATTCAGCTGCTGAAAGAAAAATCTGCAAATAGAGTCTCACAAGGCTTTAGGAGAGGAGGAAGAGGTCCCCAGGGCAATCTCCATGGGAATTCTTTGACTCTGGGAAGTGGGAGGATTCATCTCACTAATGGCTGAAAAACTTGCCCTTCTACCTAGAAAGCTGGAAGATCCCCAGAAACCTGAACAAGTCCTAGAAAGTTTGCATAAACACCAGTGCAGATGGCCAAGCACTATCTGTATGCCCTTGTCGGTGCTCATTCCATGCCAATCGCAAGCCCTCTGCCCCATTCCAGCAGTGGCCTTTGAAGTGGGAGATTCCCACTGTGGAGATGGCTTGTGGGACAAGACAGCCCGGGGCCGTATTACTTGTTCTAGCTGGGAGCTGTACTGCATCCTCTCAGCACATGGAGAGGATGATGTGAATCTTGCCTGCTCCAGCCCCACCCAGCCCCTGGAGACAGCCCCAATCTGATCCCAAGCACCCAGCCTTGTGATTTTGTTTAAAGCAGATTAGAAAGCTCTATCAGCAGAGGATTGACAGGCAGTCATCTTCAGCAGAGCGAAAAATAAACTAGAGCAGTAGACAGTGACTTGTTGCAGCCATTCGCACGGTGACTGCACCATGGCAGACCCTTTCTCGGCCTCAGCAACACGTCACGAGAGGCAGCCACAGAAGTACAATATGGAGGAATCGCCTGCTGCTACCCGAGATCTGGAGGAGGGCTTCCACCTTTATTTGTTGGTGCCACCAACAAGCAGGACTATGTCTGTTTACACACTTCTGCCTCTGTCCTGAGGAGACCATTATGGCTACAATAGTACTACCACAAGAACAGAGATGAAACTTGCTTGTTTGAAACCAAGCTAAAGGCTGATCCTTAATTCCTGTACATACACCAGAAAAAGCATCATCCCCAGCAGACTCGCCAGTTATTTCCACTCAGATGCTGTGTGTAACTTCCAGTGTGCTCTAAAGATAATCAAGAAAAACGGGCCTCAATTTTTATTTAACTTTGAAGTCCACTGCTTCTATTTCAGATCCGAATAAAGCATTGTGCACCTGAAAGCTTGTCTACTTTTCCCATCTACTCTAGCTGATCAAATATAATATATTTGCCAGAAAATTCTGGTTTGCTAGGTTAGAGTAAAATTTCTCCTGAGCTGAACCTGAGTAACTCCAAGCTACAAGGTACAAGCTGCCAGGTTTGGTGATATTCAGTAGTTTAACTTAGTTCAATTATAATTCATACATTATTTTCTATGCTAAAAATGGTTAAATGCTTCAAAAAGCCAGCTTGATCTTCACTAAATTTATTGTTCTCTTTTCTACAGCAGCTTTGTAATTTCTACTGAATGTTTTAAAAACAGAACCAATAAAGAAACAAATTAAAGTAACACTTTGACAGAGCTTACCAACTTTGAATTGCCACTTTCAGGTTCATTGACTTGAATAGCATATTTGCTTCTTCCCTACTCTGGGACAACTTGTGAGAAGGGGGAGCCCTGAGGTACCTGAGCAAGGGTCAGGGAAAGTCCAGGGGTGGCAGCCAGGTTTAACCAAGAGTCCAAATCACAGAGCGGCCCACAGCAATCAGGCAGGTCAGAGGCAAGCCTGAGACGTCAGGATCAGACACGGTACCAGGATGGCCAAACTCAGCTGCCAGCTCAGCAGGGCCCACAGCCAGAGCAAGGCTGTGGTAGAGCGAGAGACCAACGCTACTACAGCCCTACTCAAGAAGAGATCACACCCCTGGGGCTGACCTTAAACAGGGCTCCTGGGCCCATGGGTAGCAGGTGTGGGTAGGGGGACCCAGGTGAGGCTGGTCAGAGGAAGTAAGGGCTATCAATGCACTCTGAGCCGTGACATCCATTTGTGAGGCTTAGTTTTGTTAAATAAAACTTAATATGGTAAAGACAGCTTTGGAAAGCCCATTAAGTTAAAAACAAAATGCAAATAATCAACACCCATTTCAATATTATTAATATTATGACACACTATGCCTCCTCATACTTCTGTGATTCAAACGTCCAAGGGAAAAACAACTTCTTTCAATAGTACAAAGACAAAAATAAAAAGATTAAATCGTGAAGTAAAATTTTAGGATCAGTGTTCCACTGGTATCATCCCCTCTTTGAAATGCTTCCCTGCCTCTGCCTCTCAACCTCTCTGCAGGGGACGTGAGACAGGTTGGTGAGCATATACATTGTAGGACTAAGGTTAGCATAAAAAGACAAAAAACATGCAGAACCTGAATTCTACTCATATATCCATGACAAAATACAGAGCAAGAAAAGACTGCCAAAAAGGGGCCTTAATGCAATTTCTGGAGAAATTCCTTTACTATCTTTGACAAATCCTTCTTTACAAGGAGTGCCAGATAAAGCCCTCCAGTGTTGCCTCTGGATTAGCCCAACTTTGAGAGCTGGGAACATGGGAGTGCTACAAATCGACATTTCACCTCCGCGGGGGAGGACATGGCTTCCACTGTCCCGGCACCCTGCAGGCCAATGGAGCACACAAAGAGGTCACCAGATTACTGATACATCCTTGTTATAAAGCAGTTAAAATGTCATAAAAAATTGGATCAAAACCCATGCTTCCATGAAGAAAAGCATTACATGAATGCTTTATAAAAATGGGAAATAATCACAAAATTTTCACAGCTACAGTATTAACAAAAATTCCGTGCCAGCAGCAGAATATACTACAACTTCATGATTTATATAAACTGTGAATGATGAGATGTAAATTATGTTCCTACTGAAAAAAGAACTATATTCAACAGAATATTTTCTGCCTGTAGTATTATTATGGTTAACAACTTGCAGACAGTTTTAGTAATGATTATTTAACATTCCTGTGGTCAAGCAAAATGAAGATAAGTGTTTGTATATACATGTTTTAAAATCAATTTTAGATGACAGCAGGTTACTCTCTTGTTATTCCATAACCAATAACTTTCTACATTATAGTTTGTTTTCACCAGTGATCTCAAATTATAATCTTTCTTATTGCGCTTTAGTTGCGTAGGGGGATTGCCTGGTACCTTCTTCTTGGCACATTTCACACATTCATTTCCTTAATACTGTCTTTTGCTCTACGCTCTTCTCTTCTGGTCATATACAACAGCTTAGGCTTTTGAGGATGAAAATGCTTTGGTTTAATTGAAGTCTCTCAAAGCAATGTGGAAGTATCTGGATAAGCAGGAGGTGACTAGATGATCAAAGGCCCCTTTGGCTGTAAGTGTTATGAAACTTTTTGATGTTAGTCCGTTTCTTCCGGCCCACATTCAGACCAATGCACGCTTTTATTTTCCACCAGATGTTTCTTCTGTTCTTTCCGACAGACTATATGAACAGATCAAGAACCTCCAGGATATACTCCTTTTTATCTCTATAAGCTGGAGAGAAAGCATCTGCATTTTTCACTCTATTTGTCCACACTGTATTATAAAGTTACAGTGTTGGTGATGATGGCAGCTGAACTGGAGAAAGTACACCACCAGCTAAGGAAAAGTTAGTATGGGTGGGCTATATAGCAAAGCCAAATTTAATGTCAGATCAAAGACTCCAAAAGAGTAAACCCTGAATTCATACAAAACATTTGCTATCAGATCGTATTTCCGAGTATGTATCTCTCAGAAGGGTTTGACTCCACAGTTTCCAAGGCATTATGTTGCTTTCAGAATCAGAATGGTAGCACTGGTACAATAGCTGCATATAAACTGATAACATGCTGAAATCAATACTTTAATCATCCGTATTTTGTTAAATTTCTGACAGACTCATAATATTCTATGTATCAAATTCCGGGTTACTGCTTCTCTCTTCTTCTACTATTTGTAAACATTGTCACCTACTGACAGTCTAGGAAAGTCACAGTTCCTTCACTGTAACTATGCTTTGACATTCTTCTTACATTTGTAGGCTAGTCCTAACTAGTTCCTTCGAGATTAACATGAACAGTGTTTCAAATATGCTGCTATCAGATTCCCAGCATTAATTAAAAAAATATCCTTCAGATATGGATTTAATTTGCATCCATGCATTCCATAGCAGGCTGTTCCTTCCCAATTATTTCATGATGAAAAACCCCAATATAAATCTCAGAAAATGGGTATTCCAAGACCTGTTTTACTGCTCCTAAAACCTGTTTAAACCTTGTGCTATTAAGCAAAGGAAAGATCTCAATGTCACTTTTTCATTATGGGTCAACATATGACTAAGCTGTATGTTTACACTGATAATAGCTGTATTATAAATATTTACATGGCTTATAGAGTTAGCAGTAAGGCGTAAGCAGTGCTAGCTGTATGCGTCACTCCTCTGCTAAGTGTACATGGGTTATGAAAATGATGTTTTTGTTTATTTCTTCCGTATTTTCTTTCCAAGTATTAAATTATCTTTCTAATCAGACCAGCCATAACTAGGAAACAGAACCTATACTGTTAATAGTGACTTAAATGGAAAGGGATATTGTCTTACATGAACTCAACTAACCTTTTATGTGCCAGTGCTCCAGCCGAACCGAATCACTATTCTTATTCAAGAACACCTTTCGTGTTCAGGAGAGCTCAATAATTGTACATATGGGACATGTATGAGCAAGGCTAAAGAAATAAACTTAATCAACTTCTGATTTTTCCATTAAAAAAAAGTTGGAGTTTGTGGACATTATTTCTCATTTTATTCAATTTGATTCAATTTTATTGATAAAAAAAAAATGACCATTCAGATAAAAAAGGTAAAAGAAATCCATTAAGTTAATGGTGGCATGAGATTAAAGAAAGAGAGCAGCAGGTGGTTGGTTTTTTTTTTTTCTTCTAACCAGATAGTTATGTAAGTATAAAAGAATGCAAAAGATCTGTGGGTTTTTTAGCAAAATTCGTGTAGAACAAGAGAAAAAAACTCAACAGGTATCAAGTCCCACACTTGAGTAAAAAGTACAGGAACAGTGTTTTTTTTTTAATCTATCTACATATGTGGACTATTAATTGCAGCATCTGAACACACCATTCACTTACTTAGCTTCCCATTGTTCCGGTGACTTTTATTATCCCAGCTGTATCAATAAGGACCTGAAAAGATAGAATATAATAAATTATTGCTCAGGTTGACCCAGAAAGTTAACTAGGAATGAAATCCAGATCTTCTAGATCCCAGAACAGAACCACAACCTCAGGACTTGTACATCCAATAATTAAATCTGGACCTGTACTCAGGCAATAAATACTGCATCTTTAAGAATTATGGACTGGAATTATGATTGCATGAAAATGGCGTACGCTGTTGCAGAAAATGGTGCCAATTATAGAAAACCTGGTGCATGATAGAAAATCTATCAGTCTAGGCATTTATAACTCCCACATCCTGTGATTTCTATGAATTATTATGATTAGCATTAATTGAGGTAACAGATCTAAATGTGCCAAAACTAAGGAGCTTAAGATAACGTGTTTAAATGGTGGCACACACTGAATCTGCCCTCCTCTTTTGGCTTCGGCTTGTTCTTGGAACAGAAGACTATGCTGAAGTTGCTTGTCTTGGCAAAGTCTGCTCCTTTAACTTGATCTCCACCCTATTTCTAGGAATTCAGCCCCTTTCATGCCTGCCAGTCTGCTGAGCTGTGTGCTGTTTTTGGAAGGACAGAATACAATTTTCTTATAAATTCTATGACATACTTGTAGGAATTGCCAAAATGTTCTATGAAACCTAAGTGCCACATAAATGACGGCAAAATAAGGCCATTTACATGTAGCTTTGGCTATAGATTTTATGTGATTCATTCCTAGTCACATATTTGCACCATTAGCTTGCCAACATTTATATGATAACCTATTATTTTAGACATTTATAATTTGCTCAATGTATTCCCTACTGAAGATTAATAACAAAGCTCAGAGTCTAGGTATCTGTACCAAATTTGGGGAATAACACTTAACACCAGTGACTAGTACTCTACCCAAGTGAAACTAAGGTGTTCATTTAATTGCCTTTAACTCTTGGAAAAAAAAAAAAAATAGAGCGATTGAGCTATTAAACCTACAGAACTAGTTACTGTTTTGCATGTGCAGTAAGACATTTTCAAAGGGAACCTAATTATGCATTCTAATGATAAGTAGTACCAGCCACTGGTATTTTCGCAGACGTTATTAGAATAAACACAGTTCCAAGTGGAAAGCTAAGCACCTTTTATCACCTAGATCAGGTCTTTCACCAGAACGTACTCGCTGAGGGGTTTTGCCGAGGAGCCGGCGTACTCCTCAACCGTTCTTTAACACTCCCGTATCTTCGCTAATTTGTGTTCGCCTCAACACCGCCCCCGCCCGCCTGCAGCGCGGATAAGGCGAACAGCTGGCTAAACACTTCATCCCCTCCTCCTCAGCTGTTGCCTCAGCTCCTGGGCGGAGCCCTTCCGAGTGGCGCGACGACAAAACAGGGAGCCGCTGCGCGCCGCGCCACTGGGAGCGGTTTCGGCCGCTCCGCCTCAGCTGGAACGCCCGCGCATACACCCAGCACATCCCGCCCCCCTACTCCCGCCTCTTTGACGGTGGCCGCCCGGCGCATGCGCAGCCCGCGGCGCGCGCGCCGGGGGCGGGCTGAGCAACGGCCACCATCGCCGCTGAGTGGCGGGCGGGTCACGCGGTGCGGGCGCGAGGGCCGGGACTGCCGTTGCTGTTGCTGTTGTGGTTGGCGCCGCCGTGCGCTCGGTGGCGCGCGGGCGCGCGAGAACGTGAGTGTCGATGCGGGGAGGGGGCGCGCGCGCCTCCGCCGCCCGGTGACCGGCCCCTGCCCCTCCCGCTCCCCCCCCCCCCCCCCCCCCCCCCCCCCGGGTGCCCTCGGGCCGCCCCGGCCGGGCCCGTGGCGGGGCTGGCGGCGCTGGGGCTGAGGCCGGCCCGGCCGTGTGAGGGAGCCGCCCCGGCCGTGAGTGGCACAGCCCGGGCCTTGGCGCCGCGTGTGGTCGCTGTGCCGGAGGCTGCCCGGTGCACCGAAACAAAAGCGGTGCGGAGGCGCCTGCGCTGGGGAAGGCTTCCCGTGAAGCCGTTAGCTCTCCCGAGCCGGGTCTTAGTAAGTTGTCTTCTGCCAAGCTTCGCTCGTCCCCTGCCGCTGGAACCGCAGTGGCGGAGCGAAGTTTATAGAAATGAAGCGAGTTTCAGACATTGCTACGATACTTAATATTTCACATGTGTAGCATCTCGGAGCGTTTCCCCCTTCTCTGCGTTTCTGTAGAACTTTGCTCTCCGAGTGCTGTTGAGGCGGCTGAAGGAAGCGGTGCCGGCGGGCTCGGAGTCTCGCGTGGGAGCCGGAGGGGCTGTGGCGGCGCTGCTGCCCGAGCTCCGAACCCCAGATACGCCCGTCTTATCGCTACACCGCAGCGAGTTCACGTGTGGTGACACCTTAACATTTGAGCTCTTGACAAGAGCTAATATAACTGTAATACTAGGAAATGTATATTTCTGAATTGTTTGTGTATTTAACCAATAGTATTTAAAATGGATTTTGTTAGAAAATAAGCTTTCCATTCTTTCTCCTGCAAACTGCAAATTTTCCCTCGAAGCAACACAAACTAAGGAATGCTAAACTTGTAAGAGTGCTTGTGCTTCATACTTCTGAAGAGGAGTCAGGGAAGCATTGGTTGTTTCGTTTTAATTACAAAAATTCTTGAGATAAATAAAGGAGGATGCTCTTTTGGTGTAATTACCCAGTTTTAGGATTATACAAATGGAAGTATTGAAATCAAGTAAAAAAAACACAAACCACCTGACCCTGATGAAAGTAGTTTAACATCTGTGATGTCGAAACTGTCACTGTGGCCTAATCTGAAGACTACTGTTCCAATGTATTTTCACTTTTTTAAACTGTGGTATGCCCTCACCTTTACCAGTACAGTGATACAACTATATTTTTGATTATTTTACTTCTCTAACCTGAATTATGTGTAGATTCATCCTAACATTTTGAGAGGTAGTTACTAATTGCCATCTGTTATGAGATGGGGATAGTAATATTTATCAAACCTTTCCATGTCCCTTTCCTTCCACAAAACTGGAAAGGGACTTAATATGTCCATTATCTCCCCTCACAGTACTACGATAAAATAACTCCAACTAACTGACCACAGAGGTTCAGCAACAACTGACGCTTAGTGACATTTTCCTCCTTGTATAAATTGGGGGCAGTTGGCCAGGAGGGGCATATTGCTGCTCAGGCATCAGTCAACATGAGTACTAAGCAACTGCACTGTGCATTGCTTTTATTGGGTTTTATTTCTCGTTATATTTCTTTTAATTACAATATAATAATTATAATTTAGTTACTAAACAGTTCTTAACTCACAAGTTTTACTTTTTTTTTTTTTTTTTTTTTTTCCATTCTTCTCCCTATCCCACTGACAGTGGGGAGGACTGAGCAGGCAGCTGCATGGTGCTTAGTTGCTGGCTGGGGTTAAGCCATGACAATAAGTGTAAATGATAAAAAAACTATAAAGGTTCATGCTTTCTCAGTCAGTTTTGCGCTAGAATGACTGACCGATTTGGCAATTGCAGCAGAATTCCTTTTGTATAAAACTTACATAAGCAGAACGTATTCCTTCTGACAGCGTATTTATAATCAGCTTCTTGACTGGAATAAGCTATAACTGTGAAAAGGCTTTTTATTAGTTCGTTCCATTTTTGGAGCTGATTTGTACTGCACTATGAAAAGACTGGTGTGATCTTTGTCTCCAGAGGAGGAAATAGGGAGTATCACTAGTGTACGTATTACAAGTAAATCTTCTTCAGCATAGATTAGGCCTCAGTTTTGAGGCATATGAACAAACTCCTTCCACAGTGGCTGCCTACCAAAGGTAATGGAGAAACTGAAAGATCAGGAAGGAACGTGTTTAGTGGTAGATTAGTTGCACAACAAATATATTTTTCAATGCTTTCACGGATCACAGTGTAAAGAAGTTTTCAGTAATTGTTCTGATTTTTCACAAACTGAAGAGGTTTTGAAGACTTTGTTATATCAAATAATGTTTCTCATATTGCTACTACAGAATTTTCTTTGGCCTTTTTTTTAAATTTCTATTATTTATTTTTCTTCTTGCAACTTGGAGTCACTGTTTTTCTTCGGATTCTGGCTGCTGTATAATACCCAACATGTACGTTGCCTGCAATGCATCGTATCACCTTGAGGGTCAAGCTGGTGTCTGAAATGCATACTGTAATTTCCAGAATAAGTCTTCCAGTCCTTTCTTAGTCAGTTGGCTTTGAGGGAAGTTCTGACCGAGCAAATGTGCAGCTGGTTTGAGCGGCACATGGTGGTGGAGTAGCTGCTTTGAAGCAAAGGACCGTTTGGACAATCAGACTGAGCTCTGCTAGAATTAAAAACTTCCAAGTTTGTATCTGCCTGAGAGTGGCTTAAGGAGGCTTGTTGGTTCTACGTGCTGTGTCCTTGTGTGGCATAAGGAAACGTTGCTTGCTATGATTTCATTGTCATTGTAGCCAACTGAATAATTTGAAGACTTTGAATTAGAAGTGGATGCTATGTAGGAAATGAAGGCAGGTAGATAAAATGCAGTTATCTTAAGCAGATTTTAGAGATAATGTTAGTAGTCTCAAATGATGACAAAATATAACTGGTCTTCACCATGATAATCTTTAAAGAAAAGTCCAGTGGATGCTCGTTCTGATGTTTAGATTGGTATACTGATTGTAATTAAATTTATGATAACTATATAAAATTGTTTTCTCTTTTGTGAATGAAAACATGAGTCCAAAATTGGCAGGGCTTCCAGTGACATTGAAAGTTAATAATTATAATGAAACAATTTTAGTAACTCCATATTTTAACTGAAGGATGAACAGGTTGCGGTCTTTTTCTTTTTAGATGTATTTTTCTTTTTAGATGAAATAGCAATAGTCAAACTAATGATGCAGTTAAAAGCCTAACTGCTTAGTGTCTCAGATGTTCATAGTTAAGATGTGAGGCAGAGTACAAGATTTGACCTAGTCCCTTCCATTTTTTACTTTGAAAGCTGTCTCATTTATTTTGGGATAAGGCTTCCAAAAGTAATCTTGGCACGTGTTGTTTAACATGTTTATATTTTATTGTGAATAGTAATCATCACACCCTTCAGAACACAATTTTCAGTTTTAAGTTGAAGTTGTTAGCTTAAAAGCTTATTTTGTTAAGGGCTTATTTTCAGTAGTACTTAAGAGGATTAAAGAACTATAAAACATTTTCAATTTTCATGCTAAAGGCATAAGAGGTAGATGAACTTCCTTGTTCTCACAGAAAACTTTGAAGGACATTTAAAATAAAATGTGGCATATTAAAAAAAAAAGACTTCATGATGTAGCTGTTCATGCAGTCAAATATGTTGGCATTTAACTTTGTATTGTTTCCTTTCAGCAAGGTAGTTACTGACTTAAATTATTTTAAAACCTTTGTATTACAGAAGTATGACTTCTAATACCACATTCTGAAATGCTGTGTTTTTTCAGTTTAAGGTTGAGTATTTCTTTGTGAATGAAAGCGCGTTATGCCCCTAATAAGGCAGATTTGATTAATCCAGAAGTCATTCTTTATAAAGTAATTACTTTTACAATTAAGTCAGAACCTTGTCTTTTGTTATGAACTCAGTAATTGACTGTACATTTCAAAACTTATTGTAACTGACAGCTTGTGGTTGACCTTCTCCTTGCATACATATTAAAAGTAAACAGGATGATTCATTATGTTTTAAAATTTTGGAGGTTTTTCCTGCAGTTTTTTTTTTGTTGTTATTCCTTCCTTCCCCTCACTTCCAAAGTTTGAGGGCAATAGTAAGAGGGTTTACAGTTTGCTTCTGCATCTTTTGTTAGGGCTTCTTTTGCTTTAAGAACTCTGTTTCAGTCTTTACTTGGATAAGTCTTTGTACCCTGTGGCTATCTTCCTAAGCAAGTAGTGTGGGCCTGTTGAGGCTTATCTGTACTGTGAAATGTTTTGTGCTCAGGATTTGATACTCACCGTTCAAGTGTTTCATGTGTGTTTTACATTGGTCTAGCTCTAATCTGGACATGTAGGCTGAATGCCCAATTTTTTTTATGGAGTGCACTGGGTTCCTGCCTGAAATACATCTCCTGGTTTAGTTTAATCTGAAAATAGACTAGTTCCTGCACACTCAGGCCACTCAATGATGTGAACCCTAGTGAAGTCAGTGAGGGCAATGGAGGAATGAATGTCAAAATCATACTACTGAACTGAAAGAGTAACACTTCGGGTTTTTAATATCAGTGAAGAGTTATACAATGCTAAAGTGTCTCCATTACAAATCCTTTTTGCAAAGCAGCAAGAATAACAAAGCAGTTTGAGAGAGAAGATTGGTGACAGATCTAAAGACCAGAATGTGCCATGCAGATAATAGCAAAATCTGTAGGTCATGGCTGCATTCACCCTCGGTGGGAATGAGATGTTACATGTCTCCATCTATTCATAAAAATCTGGGTTTACGTCACAGTGCAATTTTATTTATTAAGGAGAGAGGCAATGGGCTGGGTTTTGCTCCACATAAATTAAAATTTCAGCATAGTTCTGTTCATTTTTTGGGGACCAAGGGTACAGGGAGATTCTTTTCCTCTAACATCAAATTACGGCTATAGGAAAAGACAGTATAACAATTTTAACTGGTATTTACTAAAATATTTACTTTATTACATGATTTTTCAGTAATATGAAGTCATAATATTTTATGGTTGCCAAGTGGGCAAGAGGGGTTGTCACAGTAAAAATAAAAGAATAAAAGTTTAAATGCTTTGCACTTGGTTAGTACAAAACAAACAAACAAATTCCAAGAATGTTTAGTTCAGACATTTATCTTGAGTAGGTGACAAAAATGCAGACACGTGGCAGCCTAGATGCAAGACAAATGTCTATTTCAAGTCTGTTCTGGAAATTTATACATTTTGAAGTGGGTGGCATGTTTTCAAAAAAGAAAAAGGAATAAGTGCTTCATTGTTTCAAGCCTCATTAGACTTTTAATAAACAGAGTAGAGGCTGAGGAAGAATGTTCGAACAGTTGAAAGCTCTATATATTTTAAGTGAGTTGTGTTCCATAAGGCTCTCAAGTAACTCCTATTTTCTTTCTTATATCTTTTTCCTTTCTAATCAAACACATAATGTGTCTTGGCTGACATTTTTGATTCTTCCCAATAATGGGAATAATTTTATAATACATAGCACTACTGTAATCATGGTGTAAACCATTTCCAGTCATGTTATGTGATTATCGTAAAGATATGTGTTTTATAAGGGTCCCTTTTCCTAGGTGCATGTATGTTAAAAGTGTTTTGATACTCTTTAGTTTCCAATTTAAAGGGGGGTGTGTGTGTGTAAACTTTAAATAAGACTGTAGTGTTTGGCACTTTGAACAACGTGGTATGGCAAGATTTTGGCGTTTCCACATAACTTGGGTTTAAATAATGTTGATTTTTAAATTCTAACAGTTTTTATGTCAACTGTTCTGTGCTGGAAAAAATGTAGCTGTGTCAGTGGTATGAGAAGTCAGAGGTTTGGGCAGATGCATGTTTGGAGATGTTGGTAGACCTGGTATCAGACCATGTAGTGTGAGAAAAGAGAATGACATTGACTAAACTTTTGATTAGCTAAGTACTTTTTTTTTTTGTAACGTTGATGTTAAAAAGTCAAAGGCTGATAATGTTAATTATCATCTACAACAATCAGTTTATACTTTAAGAGGTCTTGGCTCATTTGAACTTTGTAGGGACTACAGCTGTGGTTTCTGTAGTTCAATTGTGAGGATTAAAAATTGTTTTTTAAGGGCATGTCTAGTTAGTTATATGTTCAAGAGGCCTGGTATAAAGCATGTTTCTGCTGTTTTGGTCAAGATTTAGATGTTCAGTAGCATCTCTGAGATTAGACCATGGGAAAATGCAGTGAATTTCCTTTTAATGTAGCAAATACTCTACTTGAATTCTGTTCTGCAGTTGCTTTAAGGATGCTACCAGGGTTATTTTTCCTTCTATTAAAGTGATATAATAAGCATAAAAGTAATTTAAAGAGAAATCCAGAGACTAGAATAACTTAAACTTAACTATAAGAAGTGTCATTAAGTAATTATGTGTGTGAACTAGCATGAAAGTATATGCTCCTCTCTCTTATATCTAAGTAGAGGAGGTAGGCTGGCACTTAGATGATGTTCTTTGATGTTCAACCCTGTGCAGGTTTCATAGTTTCTTTTGCTGTTATAGGATAGCGTCATTCAGAGGTGATTTCCTTCTTTTCTGTGTGTTCACTTACTTTGTGTAGTGCAATCATTATTAATGATAGTCTGAACACCTAAAGAAAAATGTTTAGTAGTTTGCAGTCATACCATTGGTCTATAGAAATGTGAAACTTAGTAAGTCCTAACAGACGTAATGTGGAATGTTAAACTTTGTATCTTGAGCTGTTATCCCTTTCCCTTTATAAAGGTGTATTTTTTTTCTGTTGTCCTCCAGAAAAATTAGATCTTTGTTTGTTTATTTAATAAAAATGTTTACAGAAGAAGCATTTGATGTGATGAATTGGAAAGGTATTTAAATAAAAAATTAGTATATTAGCAACTTATTCTGACTATAATATGTAAAAGGTGATGCACGGGATGTTGAGATCAGAATTTTGGACGTATCTAGATATTTCAGGAAGTTTAATTTGAAATCTGATGGCAAACTTTTGAAGAGTAGGTGTACTTTTGCTGGCTCTGCATAGTTGATATTTGTGTGAAATAATGTGTTACATATCTTCAATAGTTCAGTGAAGAACTGGCATCCTAGAGGTGGAGAAGAGTGGCCATGCTACTGTTGTGCCCCCTTGGAGAGTTTTGAGAACTAAAAATAATACTGGCCAACTTGGGGTGGCCCTCAGAAGCTACTTGAAATTCAGTGTCTCTTCCTGTCTTCCGCAGGCGGTTCCAGTCTCCAGAAACTCCATGTCACCTTGTGCTGTATTCTCCAGTGCAGCTTCCTCCCGCCTCTCTTTATAGGCTTGCACAGTTTAGCTCAATGCCCTTTCTCAGTTTTTGTCATAGTAACCCTATTTCTCACTAGATCTAGAACTATTATAGCCCTTTTTAATCCACCATTTTATTTGTCATAAATAGAGCAGAGATGAATATTTTGCTATAACTGTCTGGAAATTTTATGTACTGTTCTTGCATATGATTTCCTCCTACAGTTTTTTTTCTCCATCACATACTTTTAAACTAAACTTCAAATTTTAGTCACTAGGAAAGCAATAACAATTTTTAAAGCTTACATTTAGGAGTGCTTAGATGTGTCTCTTACTTTTTGAAATTATAGCTTCTAATTTTCATTCTTAGGTTGTATTGAATATTTGTAGAAGTTGGAAAAATGATCGAGAAAAAAAAAGTAGCATGGATAAGAAGCCTGAAAACCGAGATTCTAGAGAATTTTTAACTGGTTTACTTCCTGAAATTTTAATAACTGTGAGAGAATCGGGATATTAATGAGAACATGTCTAGAACACCTAGGAATTTTATAGGTGAAGTAAAGCCTGCCCAGGGATATGAAAGACAGGTTGCAGACTCATGTTTCTCACAATGATTCTGAATTATCTGTGTAAATACCTTTTATTTGTATCTTATTCCATTTTAGAAATCATGATTTTTTTTCTCATTTGAATTTTGTTCTGATTTAAAAAAGGTCTCAGCTGATTAGCTTGAAGAATTTGCTGTGTTGAAAAAAAAAAAAAAGGCAGTAATGAGCCATATATGTATAATAATGCCGTTATCTTTTTTTTTTTTTTTTCTCTCAGATTTTCCCACATTTCTATGGTTTTGAATTCAAACAGAAGACTAGAAATTGGATTAATCTTCACATTTCTTTGAATAAGAAGTAATAATGCAACGGAGACAGGGAAGAGTCAATGCTGGACTGCTTTTGCTGCTTTATCAGATTTCTCAAGTTGGACTCCAGAACATTCCTTCTGTTACCCTTGGGGTACTTGCACTGAATATTTTTCTCTTTCTGAATCCTGTGAGGCCACTGTCTGAAGTGTGTATCAGTGTAAATGAAGCCTTCTACAGAAGGAACTGGCAGCGTTTACTGCTTTCTCCTGTCCACCATGCAGATGACTGGCATTTATATTATAACATGATTTCCATGCTTTGGAAGGGGATAATGCTGGAAAAAAAGCTTAAGAGCATATGGTTTGCATACATAGTTGCAGTATTTTCAGTGCTGATTGGAGTTGTTTATATGGTGCTGGAATTCATGCTTGTGAAAATTCTGGATGATCCTTCGTATGAAATGCATTGTGCTGTAGGTTTTTCAGGTAAGGCACATAGTCGATCCAATTTTCATCTGTAAAATTAGTATTTGTAGATACTATATAACAATATTAGTTGAATGAAAAAAAAAAGATAGGTGTACATCCATATGCATGTATGTGGTTGTTATGTCAGTAAAGTTACCCCATTTTTAAATTTAAAGCATGTACTCTGGGTATTGATCGTCTTCCAGTAATGATCTTGCCTTCTCATTTAGGAGATCAAAGTTTCAAGTCCTGGAACTTCTTCTATTTAAAGAAATCTGTAGCCAGTTGGAGAAGTAGCACTGCTCTTCTAGATATATAGGGTTTTTCCTTGCTGTCATTGGGACCTAGCATTAGAAGGCAAGCACTCCTTTTCAATCCCTGCGAAATGGTGCTTCAATACCTCTGAGGGTTCCTTGCGCTATTCTAATTGGTACTAATTGGAACATTCTGGTAGTTGCTCGTTTAGAGCTTCACATATTCTCTGGTCACCCACCCTGTGGTAATGTAACATGCCCAGCTCATATGGGCCTTTATGGTGGCTGTATGGGCCCAGAGTGTGACCTCTTCAGAGGGGTTTGGATGCCTGTGGTTGAGGACAGCTCTGATATGGGGTAGCTATGAACCCACCTCAGACTAGTGGGAAAAGAGGTGTGTGAGATGTCTGAGGGAAGCCTCAACTGGGGGTCTTTTACCCCATTGCTCAGCAGCTACTTCTAAGCTCAAGCCCTCTGCATCATCCCTGTCTGAGCTGCTTTGCATCTGTGCCTGGCCATATGCTCCTCTCACCTGGGCCCTGACTCGACTTACCGACTTTCTTTGCCCCTGCTTCATCAGGAGGATGTGCCTGGTGATTTGGGCTCCTGGCCAACCCCACTTTCCATCACCAACCTGCCCTGTGCACTTGCCCAAGGGCTATGGGACTGGGCCCCTACTGGGGAGGCTCCTGCCTGCCTGCCTCCCTGTTCCCTCTGGATATCCTTCCTTTGCAGAGCATCTTACTCTTGCTGTTCCCTAAGCATGACTACAGAACCCTACTGAATATTTATTATTAGCAGTAAAATGACTGAAATATGTGCACTCAGTCCAGCCACAGGTAGACTTTCTAGGGTTACCTCTTACCTGTTACTCCTACTTTTGCTGGGTGATTTGTGGGGAGGTGTGCTCTCTAATGTTCTCTGTGAACAACTGGGAGGTGCTGCCATCAAACTTCTTTTTGAACCTCTTTTCTTGGATCATCCTAGATTGTAGGATAAGAAGTTGAGATCTAGAAGTTGTGAAGAAGTATCAGTTTTGGGTATTTGCTTATATAATGCACCATCCATGTGAGGTTTTTCCTATATGTTCCTATCAGTCCATACCATAAAACAGCTTAGTATCAACCCAGTTCTTGTTAGGAATGAGAAGAGTGAATATTTCAAAAATTTATGATGAAACTTCTTTATACTATATAACTGGGAATATAATACTACCATATAATTGGGCGGTGGTGAGATTTCACTGTAAGTTTTTTTTCACCAGTCTCCAGCTTCTGACTTAGCCGTATAGCAATTTATATGTCCCTTTCCTCAAACCAACAGAAGAGGAGGTAGATTTAGTGATATAATTATCCAGGAGATATGTAGGTTTATGGCTTCCCATGCTTTATGGCAAAAGGGGACCAAGTTACTGAAGAGCAGCAGTGCTGGCAGGCAGGGCAAGCATTGGCGTTGGGGTTCCCATTTCATTCCTTACAAAGAAACTTATGTCAGCCATACTATAGTATCAGCTGGAGCATATATTTTGGATTTTTCAGTGAACTAAAAAGAGAATGGGACTAAGCCTCTAATCTGCTAAGCCATTTGTGCAGAGCACAAGAAGTCAAGGTTTTTATCCATTTATGGATTATCTAATTGAATTTTAATTTACATGTTCTGCAAGATAAGATAGTTCTGCTTTAACAGCGAGTATTGCACCCTGTTCTGATGTCACTTATCTTATACAGCATCTTTTGAGTATTCAAACCTTGAAAATGTGGGCCTGCAACCTATGTGCATATGCATTTGACCATTATTCAGGCATCAGGTTAAAGGAGCTCTGGCAGACTTAGTATTCACAGTCAATCATTCTAAACCTTCAACATGCTTAACATGACCTTCGGTATATGTAATTTCTCTTCAGTTGGGGCAAGTGGCTTGTCTATGGAACAGCTGTTGAAGAAAATACGAGTATTTTCCTGATAACTTTTTATTTTAAGAGGCAATCTGTATGCATATTTGACCCATTCACTTTAACAGGTTTTAAGATGTTTAGGATGCCTGGATTATTTTTTAAAATTTTATTTTAAATGTACGAAACTGACCTGCTCCATGTACCCCTGGATAGAACCTGATAATACACCAGACCAAACACTTAAACCTTAAAAAAAAAAAAAAAAAAAGCTGTACAGAGAGGGTTGTGGTGAGCCAAGGGTGGATTGGGTGGAGATGACTCAAACTATGCTGCATTTAGTAAATTTATAGTTTCTGAACAAGTCCAGTTTTATCATCATCAAATAGCATGAATTTGTGTGTATACTCATGCACACATTCCTATTTATATTTGATCCTAGAATAACCATATTTACATCACTGGATAGATTAAGGAATTTTTCTGTCTCTTGTTTTCTATGGTTTTAGAAGGGGAGGGAAGCCTTTTTCATGTTTTTATCTAGTATGTCTGTATTGATGTTCAACTCTGTTGTCTTTTCCATGTCAAGTCTTTTACTTGTTGATTTTTCAGATTTTTTTTTCAGACAACTGTATGAGCTTTCTCTTGAGAGGAACTTTTCCAAAAACATTTCGAAAGTTCCAGTAAATTATGTGAATTCATTCTGTCATGTTGGCTTTTGCTTGCATGATAAAACAGTTGCAGTTAATTAGAAATGAATGAATATTGCGATTAAAGTTGATTTATCTACTTTTTTTTTTCAGAAACAAATGATTCTGGAATATATGTAAGATGTTTTTCTACTAATTCAGAATTTGAGTTTACTGTTGAGCTTCACATGTATCTGTTTGTCTTGTTGGCAGTAATGGCTTTTCTCAACTCATGAAACATTTTTTTGAGTTCCATAATTTTCTCAGTTATTTGAACTAGAATTTCTGTTTTTAAATTATGGTTGTATTGTTTTGATTACCTGAATAACTACAGTGAGTAGGCATATTAAAAAACAATTTAGAATTGGCTGTTTAACAAACACGTAATTTTTTTAATCCCCCTTTTTTTTTTGTTTTAAGTCACTGAAAAGTAGCACTGAAAAATCAGTTTAGAACTGTTGTTCTGGTGTGCAAGTGTGCTTCGTAGTGCTGTGAAATTTCATGGTACTTCAATTTCAGTAGTTAAGTTGTTTGCATTTTTTTATTATTTGGGCACAAGCACTTCTCTTTGTGGTTTTTTTTTTTTTTTTTTTTTCAGGAGTCTTGTTTGCTTTGAAAGTTCTTAACAACCATTACAATCCAGGAAGAGTCAGCAGTGTCCTTGGATTGCAGATATCCAGTAAATATGCTTGTTGGGTGGAGCTGGTGGCTATTCATTTAATCTCCCCAGGGTAAGTGCATTTAATATTTCAAAATTAGGAGAAAAGATTTGGGCTCTCTGAAGTAGTTTGAAATATAGTATGAAGTATACGTAGTGTTAGCTGGTATCCAAATGGAGTGTTGGGGCTACAACTAAGTGTTGAGGCTACAGTCTGCTTTTTTCCTTAACAACCTTTATTTTGAGCACATTTCAAAATAAAAAATGGAAATACTGTGCCCAGAAGGTATTACTAAGTATTTGACAGTAGATAACAAAAGTTGATTGACAGGAAGAAGGGACATGCGTTTTTAGCAAAGTAACCAAACTAATATTCTGTAGGGACAAGGGCTTCATTGGCAAAACTCTTTGCTTACTATTTGTGTCCTAGTCCCTTCTGCCCATTTGTTGTAGTCACTCCTCTAATTTATGATAAAGCTATCATCCACTATTCTGCAAATTTTATGCAGTTTCTCTGTTTTGCAGTCTTGCTGTTCGTCTCCCTTAATTTTTCTGTGTGCTCAGTTCTGCCAGCACAGTTCATTCGCCCCTACCTCTGTGAGAATAGTGCCTTTCTCTTCTTTGGCAGTTGATTTCTGGAGATCTAGTTGCAAATCATTAATTTTCTTGTATGATATTTTGTAACTGTCAATCATATTGGAGAATATATGTGAAGTACAGACATCAAATTTACAAACTACCAAATCACAGCTTATATACTATTTCCTTCTTTCCAGAAAGATGTCAAAAAAAAAAAGAGGGGAGCAATAATGACATACTCCTTGTCAGATAATATGGTATAGCTGATAGAACATTTCCTAGACCAGAGTGATAATTCAAATATTATTTATGTTAAACACTGGTTTTATTGCTTTATGACTTATTACCTGGTTGACTGCACCTCTGAATCCTAGGTTAAAAGACAAAAGAACTGCAGAGTGCTCTGTTGCAAATGCAATTTTAAGTGTGAGCTGAGAGGTCACTTGCATGGCATTACTACAAGCATAACACCAAAGTTTTCAGTGCATTAAAAACATTCTTCTGAAAAAATACAAACTGTTGTGTTAGCTGAACATAGTTTTTATTTGGTGATATGTTTAATACTACTGTTTATTTTATTATTAAAGAATAAGGAAAGAACATTATGTCTGAAGTAAAACCATGAGCATATTGTACTGTACCTGGTAGAGGAAAAGCATGGGTTTAGTGGTTGAGTGGTGTTGTTTTTCACTTCATTACTGCAGAAATGTCTTTGGGTAGAAAGCATATAGAAGGTCCAGTAATAATGTCAAAAACATTTTCATAATTTTATAGAAGCTTAGATTGAGCCCTGGTCTGAAGAACCTCTACATTGTTAGATTCAGTCTTGATAGCACTTAAATGGTAATGGGGGCCATAGAAAACAAGTACTAATCTCCCAAAACACAACATTTTTAATTAGTAACTTCCAACTGCCCTGAAATGAACCATAAAAATTATAGCTTTTAGAGCATTGCTCTTACATGCTCATCTGTATGTTCAGGGCATGTTGTAATATTTGAAATGTCTGATTAAATGGTGTCCCTTTGTAGATCAAGTTGCATAATTTAGTTTTGAATAGATAAGATGTCAATAAATGGGGCAAAATTCTGTCCAGTCAGAAAGACTTGCAATACATTTGGACCTGCCTTAGTGGAATGATGTGTCAGGATCACTTGAGAATGCATAACCAATGAAGGATTCTGAAGTAATACTGAGGCTACTGGAAACTTTGATTTGTGTGCTAGGAGAGGATTTAGGGTTTTACTGGCTTGTTAATTATTTTCTTTCTCATTAATGTTTTTGTTATGGCGAAGTTCAAAAAGACGTGATACCCTTCTAATCTTCACCTTCTGTAAAGTAAGGATATTGAGATGTAGGCTTTGTATAGCAATCCTTGGGATTATTTCTTTGATGGAAGAACAGGCATGTGAAAAGTTATTTTATATTTAATCTCTATGCCTCTTCCAGAATTGGACATGTGCTGTCTTAAGTCATCTATCCTTTTTGCATGGAGGGCCTTTACCTATACTCAAAGGAAAATACTGTCTTTCAGGTTGTTTCTGAAATAACTCAAATATTTATCAGATTGAGAAAGGAGACACTTTGGGGTTGAAAGCTGGACATTACAGTTTTTTTCAAACTTCTTTTTCAGAAAGTTAAAAGTAACAAAGGATGAAAATAGTGGAAGAGTGGAAATCTAGAAGTGGAGAAGAGTAGAGGATGTTATTTTTTTTTTCAGCATTCAGAAGTGTTGAGGTTTGATATTGTGACTGTCCAGAATTGCTCTTTTTGCAGTTTTTCAGAAACAGTGAGACTTGCTATTCTGGAGTTCAGAGGATCTCAAAGATGTCTTAACATTTCTGTAGGTCACTGCATCTCTGAAAACTGGCTTACGCATTTCCCTAGGCCTCCTTTTGACCTGTGTCATTGTCATAAGCATTCATAGCTGACAACTGCAAATGTTATACAGTTACAATGTATAATGAATCAACGATGACAATTAGCTTTTGCTTCATTTCATCTGCACTCAAGGATCTATGGGAAACCAAAATCTCAAAGTGGAATCGTGGTCAAAACAGGTAAACATAATAGGAATAATGAGCTTTTAATTAAAAAGAAAAACCACCAAAGAAACCCCACCAAAAACAAAACACACAAAACCTAACTTATATATATTTGAAAACATAAGAACATACTTTGACAAACCTGGTTTTAAGTTTCAATTGTTTTGCTTTGTACCCTTCTCAGTCTCAACCCTGGTACAGTGTCTGGTGTGAGTACAAGTATTTTGCATAGCACTAATAAACTTAACCTCATGAGATCTTTTGTATGTATTTATTTTCCTATTTCATCTGCTTTTTTAATTTCTCACTTGCTAATGCTTAGGAATATCACTGGTAATCATTCACATTTACTGTTGAACTGTTTATGCATGAATACTGTTCCTCAGGAACAAAAGGGCTAAGAACAGCCGATCAACCAAAAAAACTCTGGGTTTGACAGGAATGACATCACATGATGAGAACCATTTATAGCCTTTATTTTTTTGGTAAAATACATCTTTTACTTTTTTATGCTATTTTCCCAATGTGTTACGAAATTACTAAGTTTCCCATTTCCATTTAAGGAAGGAATGGCATTTTCCTGTATAGGGATGTGTAAAACAAGTTGACTTTTACTTAGGCAGTCATTTAATTTGGTTTAATTTGCATTCAGGTATGTGTTTAGTACTGGTAAATTGACTACATGGCCTACTTTCTAAGCAAGGTTAAATTTTGTAGCAAATTATTTAAATTGTCATGTGCAAGTGACTGTGCTTGTGTTAATTTGGAAATAGACTATGTATAAATACTGAGATTTGATTCCCGTGGTCTCAAAAAACTAGTTGTTCTTCAAAAATGACATTAGTGTACTGTGTAGTTTCTTGTAGTTTGTCACTGATATTATTCCTTTGTTTGCTTGTTCAGTGAATGCATGTTTCCTAGCCTAGCCTTGGAATAGGAGATGCATGGAACACAAAATATTGCAGCAGTGGCTTAAGCTAGACATACTTTTATTGCTAAATAGGTGGCTTTGTCCTGTGGCAGAATTGCATGTGTAAATAATAATGCCTACCAGACTGGGGGCTTGCTGTTAAAAGTTATGGAAGTTAAGTGGTTGGTGTAGACTTTCTTGCTCTGTTTTCATTTGTTGAGTCAGGTGACTGACACCACAGAATTGAAATAATTCAGCACAAATTCACCAACAGTGAGAAATCGATTTGAATTCATTGTAAGGATACTGGAACAATATTAATATTAAAATTGATACCGAGACTCTTGTAAACATTGGGTTAGAATCTCTCATACATGAAAAGCAAATGCAGTCCAAATGATTTTCCCTCTAGTGATACCAGTCTTCAGGGAAATTATGCAGCCAAATGAAAAAGTATAATTAATTCTGTTTAGAGGATTTTTCTGAAGTAATGTGCACATCAGCTTGATGGCAAATGTCTTCAGGAAACAGTATTTAGACATATTGTATAATTATCATTAGTATGAAGCAAATGGTTGAGATACATAAGATCTCTGGGGAGATCTACATTTTCAAACAAAAAGTTAAATGAGACATCATTTGAATTTCTTGGTACCAGAGAGAACATTAGTTAATATTGATAGAGCTCATTGACATTTAGAGAAAAAACATGCAATTTAAAAAGTCAAGAACCCTGTTTTTATTTCCGTTCAAAGTTCAGCTTGTATTATAGAAACTGAAATTGGTACTGTGGAAAAAAAAAATACTGTCATTTTTTCTTTATTAACCAGCAGTAAATAAGGCAGTAGCTTATCATATTGCAATCACAACAATGTTTCTTCATTAGTCTGAAAAAAACAGTCAATTTTTAGGTAGTAAAATATACATTCCAGTCAAGGCATTGCTATTCTTATGAATAGTGTAAAAATCCTATTTTGGAATCGGTTGATTGTAGAGGTTGCTTTATCACTGATATTGTAAGAGGTTTCGATTATATCCAGAATTATTTATATGAAAATCAGAAAATAGAGTAACCTTGGTTTTCTGAATTAGACAAGAAAGAGTGAAATTTGTAATACAGGTGAAAGGAGCCTTGGTAATATATACTTGGACAAGACTTCTTCACACAACTTCTGTGCTTTTTGTAAACTGTTTATTAATTTCAGCCAAAATCCATAGCATTTGGTTCTAAATTTTGCATATAATCCTACCTTGTAAAAACAGTTGTAGTTTTGCCATTAATTTTAATGCCTGCAGGTAAAACTGAGACAGCCTCACAGACGAGAAATCCATTATACAATTTTTTTTTAATAAAGTGGTCTACTGAAAATTACAATTCACTGTAAAATGTAGTAAAATTGCAAGAGTAGTGACATTGAAGTATTATCCAGGATTAGTTGTTCAAATATATTTAAGTTCATTTAATTGAAAAAGTGAGTATCCACTTTGGACTAAGACATATGGATAGAAGAACATTAATTTACTCAATATTACATAAACCAATAATTTTAAGTAATTTACTTCAATTGAATAATTTCAGTCTACTTTGTTATCAAACAAGAAAGATTACAGAGGATCTGAGTGAATCTGGTCTCAGAAGAAATGCTCTGAGTGATAACTTCAGAAGGACAAACGTATATAAACATGTATGTGTGTATATATAATTTATACTTATTAATATATTCAGTCTAATGCACTTTTAAAGATCATCACTACAATAAACTCTGACTGCTCTTTGCAGGGTATCTCATTTTCCCTTGTGAAGCAGAGGCAAACATAGGAGAGGATGGGCCCTGAACCCAGCAGGATCTGGGAGGCTTCTACCTCATCTGGGTGGAGACCTTCCAGTTTCTTTAGGCAGCCTGTTCTTCTACTCCACTGGTTTTAAATCTCTTGTTGTGACTTATGTCCATTACTCCTTATCCTATGGATAGAGAATGTAGGGAGTGAATTCATTTGTATTTGTGACAATCTTTTCCATATTTTGAGGTAATTGTATCTGAGAGATTTCTTCAATAGACTTAAGTGATTGTGATTCCTTCACTCTTTTCTTGTGGGCTTTCCATTTTTTTTATTGCTGCTCTTTTTGTGCAATATGCAAAAAGTAGGCTCAGTTCTCCAGCTGAGACCACTGCTGAGTAGAGTGGAAGGTTACTTCATTTTACTTTCCAGATAGTGCTCCTGCTTATGTATTTCTAGTAAAATACTTGTCTTTTCTATAGTGGTCTGACATGTTGATGCGTGCGTTGCTGTATAATTCACTGTGTGCCCCAGGTTCAATCCTGAAGCTCTCCTACTTGCCAGTCACTTCTAGCTTGTCTGTATAGTTGATGATTTCTGTGGTATGTTCAGAACTGTTTGTCTTTATTGAATTGCACACGATTTTTTCCAAAACACTAATATATTTTGTCAAGGTTGCTTTAAATTGTACTGCCATCTCCAGTGACCCCTACAGCTTCCCTTAGCTTGTCATTTGTAAATAATATTTGGAATAGAGTCTTGCAGAAGTCTACTTGATCCATATCCTGTTTGATAATGAATCACTAATAAATATTAAGTCAGGCTTACCATCCACTTAAAGATCTTCATAGTGTAGTTTGAGTTTAAAGTTTTTAAGCCTTCTTTATGACAAATGCTGTGAGACAGTGCTGCATTCTTTCAGCATGTGTGACATCTGCTAATTCTCCTTTTCTTTGAGGCTTGTTGCCCTGTCGAAGGAGGAATTATGGTTGATTTGACATGATTCATTCTTGATTAATCTGTTTTCTGTTTCTGGTGTTCTTACCTTGGTTGTATCCACAAACTATGTGCCCTGGTCATTGCTGAACAAATGGTTTTGTCTGGGAACAGAAGATAGTGATGAGTCTGTAGTTGTCTGACTAGAGTTCTCCTTTAGCTTTTTAATTTTTTTTCTGTCCGGCTTAAGAATGGTTATAGAAATACCCTTACAGTCCTCTGGAACCTTACCTATCCTCAGAACAGCTGGGAGAAGACACAAGTTAACTACTTCAGAATTTTCCTGCATAGTTATATTTTTTCATTTGTTTTGACAATGTTAAAAGTTTTTAATAGAATTGCTGGGTTTTTTTTTTTGTTTGGTTGGGTTTTTTAGTTTTTGTTCGTTTGTTTTGTTAAGTTGCATATTATCTGCATGTTTCAGTTGTTACATTTGGAAAATATAAGTTATTTGAGTAATTTACAATATAACATGTTCTAAAATGAGATGGTATCTACTTAACTTGGCTGTAACATTAAGCAATGCTTTAGTGTAAGAGAAGCTGTGTAGTACTCTGCAGAATTGCTTTTCCTTAGTAATTACAAGTAGCAAGGTGCTACAGTTGGTCACATTCAATTTTACGGCAGCATATGGTGAAAATTTGATGTAATTTATCAAATGTACTCATTTTCTGCATGTCAGTGATAGTATATACGAATGACAGTGTATCTGATGTTATTTTTCATTTAGAAGACCCTGTTTAAATGTTTTAATTTTAAGTTTCTAATCCTTTAATATAATTTATAATTAAACAGGCAATAGTGTTTAGGCATCTAGTACACTAACCTATTCAATAGACGTGAAGTGAAAATTATCTCCCTAAAGACTTTTTAAAATCGAAGGGTTCTGATTATTCATATTATATAAATATACAGCTTCACTCTGTTGCAAGCAAAAACCTTGATTTGGGGGTTTTGTGGAACAGTGTTGTACTCAGATAAATTAAGATGAGCATAAAATTCGTTTAAAAGACTGCCAGGAATATGCCAGGAACAGCAGTTTCATGTTGGTGATTTCTAGAGTAATGCATCTTCAAGTATTTCATATTTTCTGTGTACAGACATTTTTCCAAGTTAGGCATGTATTTTTCACAAATTTGGAAAAAACTGTTCCAGAAAAACCTGGAAAGTTAATTCCTTATAGATAGTTTATTTTGCTAACTACCTCTTACATACAAATTTTCACATCAGCATTTGGGTGTTACTCTTAAAAAAAAAAAAAAAAAAAGTTGGTTACTTATGGGAGAGAACCACAGCTCTACATAGCAGAATGCAAGTTTGTGGTTAAGTAAGTGTCAAAAGAGTGAATTTAGATTTGAACTTTATCTCCCTCTAGTGATACATGCATTTTCTAGTATACTTTTACCAGTGATTCCTGTAAGCTTTTTTTGTCAGGAGTGCATATACTATCATCTGTGTAACTCTCTTGGATTTCTGACCGGAATGTAAAAAGCTTCATGTTTAAATCTGATTTTACATTAAACATAGGTTTCATTTCTGCTTTATGAAGACAAAAAAGCTCATAGTACTTGCATCTTTGGACAACCAGTATAAATCCGCAGAACTGAGGTGTTTATAATTGCATACACTAGGAAATGTTAATGTTTAGATTAGTACTTAGATTAGTAAACATCTTAGGGTTTAGATTTAGTATTAGTACTAAATAATGTAGGTGATAAATTTGCAAATAGTGTTTAAACTGGGTTAAACTCAAAAGAATTTATTCTTAGTGTTTAAACCCAATTGAATACAAAAGAGTCAAACTCATAATTTGAATACTGAAAATTAATTTATGAATTTATAGAGTACCCAATAGCCATGGCAATACTTGGAGCAAATATCCTTATTTACTGTAAACATATGCTTCCATGTTTGTTTCTCAAAAGACTCTACAGCCTTTTCATTCTACATGCAAATGGACGATGATAATTTGCTAAAGAAATTGTTGGTAGGTATAGAAAATAATTTGGATCTCAGTGTTTCACTCATTCTTTTAATTTTAAGGCACTGTGTTACAAAGATTGCGATGCATCTGCATTCATGCTTATCTCAGATAAACATTAGTAGGATTGTATTGATAGTGTAGTAGAAAGTACTGTATGCTTTCACTTAAAACTCTAACTGGTTTTGGTAGATCTTACCTAGACATTTCAGCGTAATTCTGTGGATATACTTTTTTACAGATTAAAACTAGTTTGCTACTTCAAGAAGTATTTAAATGCTTTTAGGGAAATGGTGTTCTGTTTAAAAAAGCAATTAAAATGATCTTTCTGATTAGTTTCCAGCTTCCTCAGGATATTAGATACTTTTCTGTAACTGTGTATCTCTACCCATTTTAAGGTAGTTATGAGGAAGGAAAACTTGGCAGTATGTCCTTGAAGGCAAGTAATTTCTCTATGTTTGGACTCACTTGGGGACTTTCTCCGTTACAAGGAATTCTTCACTCGTCCTTCTGGATCCCTACAAAAAGTCTTCCTTTCCATCACTCACAAGATTTTCCTTTTTACTAGGACTTCTTTTGCTGGGCATCTGGCAGGAATTCTTGTTGGATTGATGTACACTATGGGACCTCTGAAAAAGATCATGAAAGCCTGTGCAGGTATAAAATTTAGTTCAATGTGTAAAATCTGCTTAAGAGACACTTTTTAAAAAATTTTAGTAAGTCTTACATAGAGAAACTCAGGCCATTCCAGCAAGTTTTTAGGCAATTAGAGATATGCTGATTATTAAAATGAACACAGAATTTTAAAAAATTATCTTCTTTTTTTTTCCTTAAATATGAATGCTCTATTTAGAGGAATACCTTTTACCTTTCTTTTTAAATGTTTATTTGGAGTAAAATGGTTTACATAAGATGTCAGTGAAAATGTCACTTGAAATGAAGTGGGGTGAAGCCATAAAAATATGCCAGAACACAATGTGTTTCCATGTTGATTTCTACAATTTGAGTCCATTCTGGTGGAAGTCCTTACAGTTTGAAAAAGGTTGTGGGATGTTTGAGAAATTGTTACCGGAGTTCTCAAGCTTTCCAACAATGTGTTACTACCGCTTTTCATGTTGTAGTAATACTTTTTAAAAAGATTGTATCTGTAGAGATGTTTACTCTAACAATTGTTTTAAATTACATCCTTGTAAACTTTTATATGAACGCTCCTATGAATTTCAGTGTTTTAATTGGAAGTCTAAGCCTTTCGCAACAACTGTGCTGGGGGTTGATTGTCAGAGTATTTGTTTTTTTATGTCTGATTACTTAATAGGTTGAGTACTTTATTCATGTCTGTGCCACCAAATTGACCATAGATACGGTGTTTGTATAGTGGGAAATTATTTGTTCAAATGTGTGTGCTTTTCACAGGAGGTTTTATCACAGTTTGGTGATACAGCCTGTAAGTCATGTATGTTTAGCAGCTTACAGTGGAAAAATAGAGACTGAAGCATCAGATTTCCTACCCCACTGGAGTGAACAGACATAAATTGTCACATTAGTTAAATGTTAATATTGCATGTTTCTGTGACAGAGAGGTATTACCTGATAGTCAACCATTGGATCACGCTGTCTGCAGAGGTTCGGCAGTCTCCATCCTTGCTTTTCAAGACTTGACGAGATAAAGCCCTGACTGAGTAACCTGGTCTGATCTCATAGCTAACCCTGATCTGAGTGGGAGTTGAGCTAGAGACCTTCTGAGGTCCTTTCCAAATAGAATTATTCTAGGGTTGTGTGATAAAGCCCATGGTACTGTTAGTGAAGCATGGAGATCCTGCTGCTGTGAAGGTAGTTGTGTGACTAAGACCTGGAGGAAGGAGTGTTTCAGTATACAGGTCATCTTTTTCTCCTATGTAGCAGATCAGAAACAGTGCAGTGTTACTTCAGTCCTCAGTTTTCTGTGCATTAACTCATTTTTGCCAATGTACAGTCTTAGTGCAAAAAATATTAATTATATGTTCTGGAGAACATTTGTTAGGTTGGTTTGCATTTTTCTAGTCTACATGTTGATGTGGTACTTAAACATGGCACACTACAAAATCTGGAACATGCAAGCTTACCAATACTATATTCTCTCATTGATGCCAGAAAAATTCATAGATACCCGTGGTTTCATATTTGTATCTTATGAAACAGACTCTGAAAAAAAAAGTACTTTAAATTTTTGGTTTTGTATTCTATAAAACCAATGTGATTGTTTTATTCTAATAGTACATGTGCTATTCTTGTATTTAGGTGGCATTTCTGCATTTACAGACCCTGCCAGGCCACGGGACTACTATTCAGGTAGGTATTCTCATCCACTTAACTAAAAACTTAGTCCAGCTTTAAAAATAATTTTTGCTAATGCTAGAAAACCTATAGAAGAGCTAGTTAAATGGAAGCATATACAAAATATTCTGCACATATGCATATTTGCTAAACTTATATTATTCTCTGGCCATGCCTCACCTTTCTTTTTTAGGGAACTGTGTGGATATATTTTGTAGAAGAGGCTTTAAACCTTAAGCTAAGGTCATGACTTCATAAAATGCTACCCTGTGGAAATATCATCTCCTTTGCAGAAGGTGTAGCAGGAGGGAAATCGTGTGTACTGAAAGCAGCCCTTTGAACCTTGGTAAATCTGCCCTGATCTGGCAAATTTATCTATTCCATTCTAGGACATTTTTTCCCCCCTCTGACAAGGAACTTGTTCCTTTGAATACTTTTTGTAAATCAAGTAATTTACATGCAAAAAGCCCACTCCTCGCCAGAATAAATTTAGGCTGTCTTCACAGTATATAGATGGATAGTTAGGATGCTGGCGCAGTTCGAATGTAGCGTGTTTGATTCACTTCTCGTGCAGAACATTGAGTCATTATATACGGATTGTATAGAAATAATAGGTGGAGACCTTGTCTGGGAGGGACAGAAGAGGAGCCAGCTGTGAGAAGGGCTGTGTGTTGGATCAAAGCTAAGGGATGGATAGCTTAGTGTATCTTATCTCCTGCAATGATTTAAACTATTTCCTAGGCATCAGCTGTAAGAACAGGATAAATATGTAGTGATAACTCCCTGAAATATCTGCCAGTGTGCAGTGGCTTGTGGCTTAAAGATGTTGTCAGCAGAAAGTTTTATGGGGGAATTTTGTCTTTAATAGCCCGTGATAGATTCTTTTTCCATGAATTTGTCAAAAGCTCTTTGAATTGACATCAATTCTTCTAACACCTACAACATCACAGAAGAAGAATTTCACAGTTTACTTCCTGGTGTAGAATCTGTTGGGTTTGTTTGTTTTAAACCTGCTAGCTGCTAATTTTATTTGATGCACGTTAATTCTTCGCTTGGGAAGGGAAACTAAACTTTGTCCTGGTTCGGGCTGGAATAGAGTTCCTGTTTGTTTTAGTAGCTGGAGGAGTGCTGCAGCACCCTGAGACCCCAGGGGCTCCCCAGGTCCCAGTGCCCTCACCTGTGTGTGGGGGCGGGGGGAGCACAGCTGGAGGGCTGGGCCGGGATTGGCTGATATTCCGTGTCATGTGACATTGTGCTCACCATATAAAGGCAGGAGAGGGCTGGGAGAGGCTGCCACTTCTGGGAGTGTGGCTGTGGTGGTTTTGTGTTTGGGATTGCTGGCCGGAAGCAGGCGGGTGTCGGTCGGCAGGTGGTGAGCAGCTGTATTGTACATTACCTGCTGATACTGCTGTCAGTGTATTATTCTGTTACTGTTATTAAACTGTTTTCATCTTAACCCGTGAGTCTCCCTTTGCCCCTCTGATTCCCTCCCCATTCCCAAGTGGGGGGAGGGTAGGTGAGCGACCGTATGGCATTTAGCTGCTGAGTAGGCTTAAACCACAACGTTATTTTTTATGTACTTTCTTCATATTCTTTATGATTTTATAGACTTCAGTCCTATACTCACCATACTCTTCTTTCTGGTTGAAAAGTTTTAGTCTATATGGTTGCTTATATGCAAACTATTTCATACGTTTGATCATTCTTACTGTTCTCTGATGTTTAGTCATCCAGAGGTTTTTACTTTTGTAAAGTCTTTTGAGATGTGCTTACTCTGAGCCACGGAGAGCCAAGGTTAGTGCTACTTTTATTCTCCATGGTGGATTTTGTCCTCTGTGATCTACCTCCAATTTTATAATTATATTAAATAATTCCCCCAAGTGAGATTATGGGTCCCTGAATATTTTTGAAGCATTTGTTTTCTAGTTCCTAACCAAAAGATCTTAACCTACTTTCCTTACCAACAGTAACCTAAAATTATATTTACCCTGGATTTCCATTATTCCAGTTCTCAAGAAACACTTGTTCTAAAGGCCAGTAAAGAAATAAAATTAATATTGTGAAATGAAATAAGATGTGAACGCAGGCTGTGTAGTGAGCATGAGCTACCTGTTTTCATGACTGGCAGTCTCAGCCTAGTTAAAGATGCTCCCCCAGCTACAGCTATGTTCAGTTCAGCAGGGCCATGTGTGCTGCTTGCATTGCTCTGTATTCCACATTCATAGACACTAAATCCAGTACAGCAGGGTGGATGGAAATGCTAAAGATTTATATTGGAAAAGGTTCTTTAATGGCTAATGATGCTAAGAATTTGTACTTGACATTTAAGCTCCATAATCTGTTGCTGACACGGTACAAACACCAGATGCTTGGAGCTTGAGTGGGTGTAAAAGACCACCCTTGTGGAATAGGAGCAGATTCTGAATAGCCCTTTACCTTTTTATTTTCCAAAGCAGAGGAAAAGGAGGAGATTTCATATAATATACCTAGCCTGATGGGGGACTACGTAGCACCTGAGGAAAAAACAACTTTAGCACTCTGACAAACAAGGAAGTCTGTTTTTTTTTGTATGTCCTGACCAGTCCCTGAAGTAGCCATGCTGTTGCTTTGAATTGTTGTGGACAAAGGGGAGACAAAGGAGAGGATTAACCTGATTTATCCTGTCTTCCAAGCTTGACTTTAGATGTAACTAAATATTTGTTACTAAATTACTTTCTCTAAAGTGACATCCAACTGCAGTTTAAAAAAATGCATATTTGTTACGTTCATTCACTGTGTATGTACTTTGTGATTGTCTTTTATCCTATTTGCAGAAGTCTTTATGGAAGATTTAACCTTTTGCTTGGTGTATGTTATATGTAATAAATTTGGCCATCTGTGAATTAAGAAAACTCTCTAGTGTCATAGGCTAATGATGCATATCTTGATTAATTTTTCATTTTCTGGTATTGCTGATTTATTACTATCTACCTTTAAATACCAATTTAAATAAAAAAATAGATGAAGTTATGATCAGAACAGATTTTATGAAAGAGTACAAGAAAAGAGCTTTAGAAGAAAAAGATTATTTTAAGTGTAACTTTAACACAGTAACTGAATTAGGTTTTCTCTAAATGCAGTTCATGAATAACATAGTAGGACATTTATTTTGATTAATAGAAACACCTTGAACATGTTGATGTTACCAAACTGTTTCTTGTAAAATAAAAGATTATGGCTTTTTGAGCGCTTAAAACTTCATGACAGTGTAAAATGCCAAACATATAAAAATTTACAGTAATAGAACAAATTTAAAATATGACATCTTTTTTCTTTCATCAGAGAATTTCATGCTTTTAGTACCATAATTTTTATAGTCTTCATGCATGCAGTTTTGAAGCCTTCAGAAAATAAATTTATAGCTGAAAAGATGTTCATTTTTAGATTAATGTAATGCAGAGGGGAATGAGGGAAATACATAAGATTGCATCCAAAGTGTATAACAGCTAAATGGTGTCCTGCAGTCAGTTCTATTTTTGCGCAGAATTACGTCTCTTAAATGTAGCCAGTATGACTTAAAGGCTTTAAAAGTTTGTTAAAAATATGACTGTAATGCATGCAAATTGGAAAACACAAATAATGTTTTCTAACTAGCGAAGTTGCCAATCATTGGAGAAAGGCAGAATTTCAGGTTACTGAAGGATAATACAGTGTGTTCACTGCAGATGTATGAAAATCCTCCCAATGTCAGTTGTATGTTCCGAAAAAGAAAAATTTACAAGTGGACGATGAAATTTTTAACTCTGTGTGTGTAATGTATATATGTATGCATACATCTGTGTACACATACACATCTATATAAAATATATGTAGGTGTGTTTGCATAATCCCCACAGAGGAGTATAATCCTGTGTAGAATAGTGTGCAATAACTGTTCAATTTTTCCTGTATAAATTTAAGATAGGGTATTGCTATTTTTATTTGTTTTAAGGTTCTAGAACTTGAGATTTTCTTTAACACAGTCTTTTTTAAAAGAAATTATTTATATGTCCTCACTTCATAGTCTGTGCATGTTACTAATCACAGAAACTCCGCTACAAATGGCATCCATATAACTAATGAGATAACACAAGACTATCATTGATGCTAATAATCTGAAGATAAAATGAAATGGCCTGCTATATTTGTTTCATACAAAAATATTTCTCATTATTTCTTTTTGAAAAACTTCTGTACATTTTCTGTCAGTTGGAAAAAACTGGCAATATTTCTGTACTTTGATTCTTCCAAATCTCCTGTCCAACTGTCTGGAAGAAAAGTTAAAATACCACCCAGAGCTTTGTATTTTGAAGATGCAAAAATGGAGTTTTTTCTCAGTTTAGATTTTCTGTGCTCAGGCAAGATCAGATTGTGTTAAAAAGAAGTGAGTCTCGCTCAGTTCTCTAGCCAAGAAATTTTTTTTCTTCTAAATCCGATGTGTTTGTATGGATGATGATTTGTGCTTGGTGTTGAGAAACTGCAAATGATCAGAAATTCTTGGTTATCGGTAGTGTAGGCCACATAGAGTGACTGTGACATTAGATGAGATCTACAGTGTGGTGAGTTTTTTCCAGGGCAGATGTAGCTGTGCAATAGCACAATATTAGCTGTATATATTACTGTAAAAATTCGCAGGGATCTTTTCCCCTGTGTTAGTTCTAAGTTCAAACATTACTTACATTTCTGATGACATCAGCATGTATTGTTCACAGACACTAGGGGGAAGGGAGACCCAGGTGGGAAGAAGCCTGAAACCTGCCTGTTTTTTTGCTGCTGTTCTAGTGACATTAATAAGGTGTCCAAGTAGTGACAATTAAATGTTAAAAGAAGCCAATGTCTTTCAGTTTCTATGTGAAACTTCTTAATAATGGCAGTTTTCTGACACTTACAACAATCATAAAAAATTGAGATATTTGAGCCATCTTTTTTTCTGTTGTGTTTCTTTCTCCTGTTACCATGGTTTGGCTTTGTAAATTAGAAATTGATTCATGGCATATATTGTGTAAGGAATTGAATCCTAATCTTTTTTTTTTCTTTCCCAAATTAAAATAATTTGTGGATGAAAGCATAAAGATAATAGCCGATTTCACTCTCCTACTGAGTAGCAGCAGTTTATTTTCTTTATTTTATATTCATTTTACAGAGTATTATGGTTATCCAGGTTATCAGTACAGAACACCGAGGAGCTATTACGATTATACAGGTGGGCTTACTGAAGAAGAACAGCTTGAAAGGGCAGTGCTAAACAGTCTTAATGAAAGAGGTAGGAATTTTATTGCATTTTATATTTTAAGTTATGATTCGTACTGAGAAGGGGGTATGTGTGGGGGAAGATGTATCGCTCATTATTTATTTTCAGTATTTTGGACATATCTTTGGAAAGAGATGAAAGTTTCTTGATAGAATTTTCAGAAAATTCAGAGAATGCAGTGTGAGGATGCAGTATCATTCTCTTGGGTAATTGCATTTGTTTGCAATTGCTCACTGTTCGATTACCTTGCTACTACTATAATAAAAGAAATGCTTTTATAACAAAATCCCCTTAAGTAAACTAAGTTGCTGTGCCAAAAAAATCTTAGAATACTCTAATAAGTAGTATGAAATGTTAGAATAGAAGAATTGATGCTGTCAATATTTAAACTTTCTCTGTTTTTATTTTTGCTTTTTATACAAGTTTAATTGACAATGTCGTACTGATTTCTTACTCCTCACACTATCCTTTCGAATTTAAAGGAAACTTATAGTCTACCTAGATGAAAGACCTAAAAAAAAAAAGCAATGTTTAGAAAGAAAAACAGTGTTTAACCAAAATGTATTAGTTAAATTGGTGTAAAATACATTTATTAGTATATATTTTATCTTTTTATAATGCAAGTGAAATCAAGAGGGAGAGAATACTTTGTAGAATCAATTTCTCAGTTGCTGAGAACTTCAAGACTTGAGAGAAAACCTGTTTAGTAGGACTGACGGCGTATTATTAGAGCATCACATGTAAAATTTACATCAGTTATGCAAAATTTCTTATATTGGACTGATAAAATAAAGAACAGAAATTAACCTAGTATATGTTGTCTGGTGTTGAGATATGTTTGATATGAAAAACTTGCTTCCTCTTTAATCTGTTTCTTGTCAATATGGATTCTTTTGGGAATACAGCCAAAGGCTTTGTGCTCGTTAACAAATCTGAAAATTTTATTTTAAATTTGGTGAAGCTGTAACATTTAATCTTAACAAAAGTAATCTATCTCATCAATGTCATTTCCTTTTTCATAATCTTGGTATTCTGTCTTCCTGGGTGCAAGGAAGCATTCATTATAAAAAAGATACAGAAGTCTCTGCTTGTCACTGCAGCCGGAGCACCATTCATAAATCTCCGCTCAGAAAATTAATTTACACCACTGTGTTATGGCTGTCAGAAATACCAAGCAAAATATGAAAATGACTATCTTGACAAATCATCATCACTTTCACTTTCACACCTTCTGTGATCCTATTTTTTTATTACAAAGAACGTGTTGTGTTATCTGGAAGATGGTTTTAAAAAGGCAGCAGATGAGGCACGATTGTGATAGGAAAAGGCTTTTCCAATTTGAGAAACTGATGAACATTTTTTTTAAAGCTAATACAGCTTTTTGCTTTATTAAGTTTACATCTATTGTGAAAGTCCCCTGGGAGACAGAAATGCAGACTTTTAGGGAAATTAGGAGGGTTTTAAGTGATTTGTTTTTTTTTTTTTTCCTACTTCATTTTGTGTTGACCTTTGTTCTTTGAGAGTAGTTCTGTCTAAATGTCCCTCAACATGGTGAAGCTAGAAACTTAAAAAAAACCCCACATTTTCTACTGCAAGATTATTACTGTAATATATTTGTTCTAGAAATTATTGCAATCTGAGCAATGCCATTTTAATCAAAATGTACTGAAAGCCTTAGTAGACAGTAAGAATCTTAGCTTTCAAATATATCGATAAAATGGGATTTGGTCGATCTGGTTTGTCAGAAGAAGATAATGAATTAGTTACTGTTCATGCTGTCCTAGGAATTTTTTAAAATTATCAGAGTCAATATGTTGTCCCATGTAATTTTGGGAAGGAATGAGTTTTAAATGAGCTTTATTGTAAGGACTGCTTTTTACTTTATTGTTTTTACATGACATTTTATATAATTTTTAACAATAAGTTTGAGAAGGAAATCTTTCAAAGCTTTTCATATTAAGCGTTTTGAAATGTTATCTGCAAGAATGAACAATATTTATGTTTTTTTGAAACTATCAAGCAGAATACAAATAACAATGACAAAATTATGGTAATATAACTAGATAGTATACACTTTAAAGGCTTTCATGTATCAGTGTGAAACACCTACAACTTTTACTTGTAGCCTTTTTAAATAATAAAAATCACTATAGGTAAGTATTTTTTTTTGCCTGCCTGTTGGTTTTGGACAAAGATAAGTTTTCAACTATAAGAGGGAATATATTCTTTTTTGGAGAGTGCCTTTTGATGAAACATGGTACAGACTTTAAATAGCATCTCTAACTAAGTATATCTCACTGGTAGATAACTGTGGCATACCAAGTCACATTTTTAACTTCAATTTGAGACAGCAGCATTTCTTAAGTCTATAGTAGCGTCTGTTTTCAGTGCTAGTTACAGTTTTTAAGCCTCACAGATAAGCAAAGCTGGAAAATGTATCCTTTTATATTGTTTCCAATATAGTTTGGTGTGACCAAATAGATATAGATGTTGTTTTCAGTGGTTTCACAGGAGTGCTTTAATTTTGCACCTCTTTCTCCTACCTGCTGGAGCACTTCAGTTTGCACAAGCAAAACTTTAGAGCTGAACTCTTAAAATATTTATTTCCTTAAACAAGCTGCTTTGAGGTTAAGGTTGCCTATAAGTAGGTGCGTTATTTCACAAAGAAAATACTACCGAGCATGTAATTGATCATACTGGTTTTAGTGACACAAAGGATGAGATGGAATTTACTGTGCTAACGAGCAATTAGGATATCTTTCCCTTTCAGTTAGTTTGAAAAATAATTAGCTTGAACGATCACTGTCCTTTGAACACAATGATACATTTTTCCCTGAAGCATGACATTCACAGTTGCTTCCAATTACATGGATGATGAAACGGGTACTTAACATGACTAAAAATTACATAAAGTAATTTGAAATAGATAACTAAATGGATGTAAAAAGAGGTACTACAATCAAAATCTAGGAAACTTTTTTGGGATGAATCTCTTTCTTTTTTTTTCCTCCCAACTATGACATTGAAACCATCACAGTTGCTCTGTAACTTGGACATAAAAGTATTGCGGTAATTTCAACTGATATTTTTAGTAGGTGGTTGTGGGTTTTTTTTTCCCTCCTTAGTTAAACAAATGCATTTATTATAGTTTTTAGGCCACAAAATGTGCCATTACAGATTTGGAATGTTGATCCATTCTTGTACTATATTAGTATCCTGCTAAGCTGTTAAAAGAATCAGTGGTGTAGTAGAGAATTTCCTGATATCAGTTGTTGTCCACATCTGAAAACCAATTTGTATTAAGACATGCATTGAATTTAAATTCAGTAGTTAGTCTTGTATAATCCCATACATGGGTTATCTAGACCCAGCACTGCATTTCTGCTTATATCACATTCAGGCATTCCTGAACTACAATTCTATTTTTATGCTATATCCTGAACATTTCTTAAATAATAATAACAACTAGTATATAGTGCAACAAAATAAATTGCTAGGCTTAGTTTATGAGATTTATGAAGGCATCAGTTTTAAGACTTACCAAACTGTCATAATGATTTAGGTCCAGTTACTAGAAGGAACTATTATTTCTATTCTTTTCATTCCCAGTTTTAGATATGTTGCTGCATCAAACAAGAATTGGTTTAAACAGCATTAATTTTTATTTTTCCAAAGTTTTGCCTATTTTAAAATTCTTCATTCTTATTCTCATAATTCTATATTGGTTCCAAATTACAATAATTCTTCCTTTACTTAAGTCAGTAAAATAATTTTGGATTTAAAAAAATCTTAGCTTTTGATATTTGAACTGTATGGTTTTGCTGTGAAGCTAAAATGTATGGCTGCCCTTTTTGTTTAATACTAGTATTAGCAGCCGTCCTTACTGGAACCCCAGTATACTGTATTTCTTATCTATTGCTTACTTGCTATTCTGCTCAGAAGAAATATCTTGATTAGTGCGGGATGTGGATTTGGATTTTTGTTGTGGTGGGTGTTGGGATTTTTTGTGAGTTGAACTTCTAAGTGTCTCTCAGTCTCAATAATGTTAAGAATCCCTTGCAAGCTTATGTCTCTGCACAAAGTAATTTTCCCCTTTTTCTTAAGACTAAGTTTTTTAAACATATAGCTGATTAATCCTTATGGTTAGTGAATTAAAGAGAAATACCTATAAGTATACATATATAGATATTCCTCTTCTATAATGAAACTGTCTATATATGTATTTCTTTAGTTCTAGTTTAAAACAAAGCAAAAAGAAAAACTGCATCCACTCAAAGTTTTTAAATGGCCAAGTATGGGCTAGCCATAGGTACTTTTGTGGTGTAGTTAGGAAATATCTAGGCATCTGGCTTGCCTGTTCTCTGAATTTTTAAGGGTTCCCATTTCTGTTTTCTTCTACTGAGACTGGACTTTTTATTAGTAGTTCAGAAATTTGCCAAATCCTTGGGACATTGTAATAAAACTGAAACTGATGTGATAAGACTATAGATAAATGCTGTGTAATTCAATTTTTTTTTCCAGTTAGTGTTGTTTCCCTTCTGCAATTGTAGGAATGCCAGTCATTGCATTTGACTATGGTGTTTTTTTGTTAAAATGTCTTAAAGTAGATTATATGCTCAAATATGCAGTGCCATGGTATCAGATAGTCACGTGCTAGGACTTACATCTGAATCTTGAAGTCCAACTTTTTCTTTTTTGGAAGAAAGCTTTCCCCCTTGAATTGAGTTCTTATACTAAATATCTTTCTAAAACTTCAACTGTGCTCTGTGATCTTGATAACCAGCACTTTCTTCAGGCAAATTTCCAGGAAATTAAATCAGTACATTTTTATAATTTCCACAGTGTCCTGGTTTTGGCTGGAATAAAGTTAATTTTCTTCCTAGTAGCTGGTGTAGTGCTGTGTTTTAGATTTAGGATGAGAATGCTGATAACACGCTGATGTTTTAATTATTGTAAAGAGTGTTTACACTAACTCATGGACTTTTTCAGCTTCTCATACTGCTGGGCTGGGG